TCGTGCCCTTTGCGTGTCTTGTAGCCCGTGTGTGTGGCTGCCCCCACAGAGAACTGGGCTGATGAGGGGCCCTACCTAAACCTCAGGGCCGTCGTTGGGGGACGGGCAGAAACCGTAAAAAAAGTATGCAATAAAGAGTGTTTATGGGATGGGGTAATAGATCTGAAAAGGGAAGGTTAAAAGACTTAGAAAGAAAAGGAATGTGATGCCAGCCAGCACTTGTTGTTACTACTGATTTTTTGAAAACAAAACTAAATGTTCTCTTCCCTGTCTCCTTGTAAAGTGATAGAGGAGTAAAGAAAAGAAACCAGGAAGAAACCCACCTGGTTTCGGGGGGGAAATCAGTGAACAGGGGGATGAGGTTCAAGGGCTAAAGTCATAGGAACAGAGAACTGACAGGGAGCACCAAGCAGCACACCTTTGTCAGTGCTCAGGACTCCCCAGAGATGCCTACAGAGCTGGTGAGTGCTGTGCAGTTGTAAACCCTTAGACCTGCAACAAGACAAGGGAAAGGAAATTCTTCCCTTCTTCAGCTGTTGGGGTCCCCCTGTCAAGTTACTTCCCTTGGAGCTGTGAACGCCCAGCCTAGCCAGGGTCAAGCAGAGCTGGGGGAAGCAGCCCTGCACAAGGCTGGAGTTCTTAAGGTTCTTAAGGTTTTTCAAACTAATCCAGGCTGCCAAATGGTATTTTCAGGCTTAGCATCCAGAAGTTGTGAGATTGTCTGAACTTGTGGTTTATTAGAACTGATGTTTTCCTGCCAGGCTTTGGTCTCTGGACTTTTTGTTTTTCAAGATAGCTGCTGGGTTTAGGAAAACACTTTTTTTAGTCTTGAAAGTAGAGATTTTTCTATGCTCACTGGGTCTATAGCAAGTAACTTGCAACTCCATATAGGAAATGAGCATTTTTCCCCCATGTCACTGCTAACTGTTTGCCTTCAGTTAGACTTTGTGAAAATGACCTCAGCTCTGTTTCTCTGGGATTTTTCTTTTGGTGTCTGACAACCTTATTCTGTGACCAGTGAAGTTCTCAGATAAGCAGATTTAAGAGACTTTGCAAACAGAAGTTGCGGGGGAAAAAAAATTGATTGGCTCCTCTGACAATCTAAAATCTGGTCAATGTACTGATAACATTCCATTTGTGACCAGATATTGTCGGTGTGTTTATATTAACTAATGTCACCGTGTAATCTGGTGTGTGTACAGGCAACTGTACCACACCAGAAAGGGTGGGCCAGCTGTGTCCTCTCTTCGCCTCCAGGTGCTCACACCCACTGCGTATTTTGTACCGCTGCTAGGGGTTGTGCAGTGAGGCAGATCAGGGAACTAAGCCAGCCGAAAACTAGTTAGGCAAAAATTAGTTTTCATCTAGTTTAATTCCCTGACCTGTCCCAACGCAGAGCCATGCAGCTGCTTGTGTCAGCACAAGAGGCACTGTGAATGAACAACAGCATGTGGGCTGGGGACAAGTCACCTTCCTTTAGTGGCAGGGATAGTCTAGTCTAGTGTAAAACTGCACTTGAGCTCTGTACTACTTAGTATGAATACAGGTAAGCTGTGCATCTTAGGTTAGATGATGCTTCAAGTATGTTATGGCATTTTTTTTCTGATGTATGTCTATACTGACTTTTCTACTAATATTTCAGTGCACATTAAGTGCTCCATAACTTTGGAAAACTGACAGACACAATAAAGAGCATAAACCATGAAATTTTATCTCTTTATGGTGTTAGGCTAATAATAAAGTACCATGATGTAATGAGCAGTTTTCAGACCTGAGTTTTACCCAATATTCTGTGCTGCAGTCTAACTGCGTAGAGTGATTTGTAGGATTAGGGGTGCTTAAAGTTTGGCTGAGTGTTGAATACAAAAAAATGTGAAAATGAAGAGGCTTACTGTAGCCTCTTTAATAATGATTTATTTACATTATTATTGATCTAACAGTGACTATGCTATGATGTAACCAAAGCTGGCTTATAAGCAGTACAAATTCTGTTTAGGTAATGTGTTGCTTTACATGTCTCCCAGCCTGACTGATTGACATTGAGGTACGCAATGGAAAATAGCAAATGTGGGAGTTGTGTTGTGCAGATATGAGACTAACTAGCAGCATGACATTGTTCCTTCCACATGGGTTCACACTACAGTGAACGTTAGCTTAAATGGGAACAATTTTGTGGGATTAAATGGATCCATCAAAGTGATGCCTCTTGGAGCTGAACACTGAACTCTACCCTGTGCAGCATGGTAGTGAGATTCTGAAGCTTGTGGCCCGGTCTTATCCCTGACAAAACATGAAATAGTCAAAGTGAGCCTTAGTGCTGCAAATTCTTCAGTATACGAATTAAACAATGTTACCTTACACAGAAAACTTTATTAGGTCAGAGTGAGCTGGCACTGCTTCATTTAATAGCAGTCACTCCCAACCACTCATTTCCACCCTTGCTTAATGCCTGCTTTGTCATCCTATAGATAGGTGCATACCCATGAATTCTACTGAATGGTGCAAGTTTTAATTTTAAATTTTAAATTTTTAAAAAAATTAAATTTAAAAAAAAAAAGTTTTACCTTTGCTTAACCTCTTTGATCCCATTCACCATCTAGCTGTGCAAGCACTTCTGCTGGCACAAATAGGAGGTGAGTGTAGGAAGATTGCTGAATTGCTACTTACTATTAGGCTGCAATGCTAATTTAAAGTGCTCAGAAAACTAATAGCTTAGTATCGCAGTCTTAATTTAAAAAAATAATAAAGGTTTAAAATACGATCTGATTTGATTAGGAATGATCTGATTATGAATTGATTTTTTTTTTTCTTTTTAAATTTCTTTTTTCATTGTCAGTGTTTGGAAACGTGTTAGCACTGAGCAACTTTCTAATGAAATAGGAGGAAATATCAACAGTTAAGTCAGGAAAATTCTCTAACTTGGAGAGTGCAGGGTGTAAGAGGTAGGATTAAATACTAGTATTCCTTTTATTGCAATATGTGTTCATGTAAACTTTTAGACTGTTTGTGGTGCCTGCCTAGAGCTGCGCTCTGCATAAATCACATTAACTGCTTTTCTGAGTCTTTTTTCCCCTTAGAAAAGAGCTATTTCTTATTTTTTCTTCAAGATTCAGCATTTTGCTCAGTTGGTTTTATTTCTGAAATTTTATGTTTTATAGATACTTGTCTCCAAAGTAATTGACTAAATGTATCATTGATTGTTTTCAAGGAGAAAAGACGTGGCCGTGGAAGATACAGAGGTAGAAAGTGTGGTCGAGGTCACAAAGGAGAAAGACAAAGAGGAAATCGCCCCCGATTAGGCTTTGAGGGTGGTCAAACTCCATTTTACTTGGCCATACCAAAATACGGGTTTAATGAGGGACATAGGTAAGTTTCTTCACGTTTACTCAGAAATTAATCATTGTCTGCTTTTCTTGACCTTTGTCCTGAAGCCAGAATCTAATATGCCAAAACAGGCCTAACTGAAAATGAGACATTCCTCTCGGATTGTTAGCTTCCTTGCCAGCTGAATTTCCCATTTCTCATGGGATTATTTTTGTAGTGAATTAATTTATTTTCTGTTGTTTCACAGATCTGCTCGTTTGCCCTTTTCTTTGCATAATCCCTCACATATAGCAGGTTACCCTTCCTCCTACAGCCGAGTGCATTTCTCCTCTCAGGCCACTCCTCCTTACATGCTTGTTTCTCCCGTTGCCTCTCTGCACAGCAGATAACCTATTGAACTGACTGGGAACAGTCCCATTGACTCAAGTGAGGATGTTAGGCATGGAAGTGGAATCCAAAGCCTAGCTTTGTCATTTCTCTTTGCTTTATTCACCTGAAGCTCTGATCTGCTGCTAGCCAAACAATTCTGCTTCTCTTCACGACTCCACTTTTTTAGCCCTGCAACACTGCAGTCTTTGTCTGTCTGCACTCTGTCTGTCCCACCTAGGGTCTTAACAAGCTCTTTAATGTCAAATCTGTGGGATGAAGCCATTAAGTCGTCTTTCACAGTTGTTCTTCTCAGACATTCTGCCTTGTTTGACGCTTCTGTCCCCTTTTCACATTGTGCTTGTTTGTGCCATGGCCTTCTTTCAGCTTTTTAGTGTTCAAAATTATTCTTCTAACCAGTCACTGTTCTTAGCTGGAGGTCTGTACGCCAGGATTTTGTTCATTTCCTTCGCTATATTGACAGTGACAAATTTTTTGTTGTTGTTTTTTGTTGTTGTTCAAAGCTGGTTTTGTTTCCTAAGATGGCATGTATGTTACCTTGGTCACTAACCATTTTGTTGCTTTTAATTACGGTCATGAAAGCGTTGTATGGGTGCAGAAGTTGTTACAGGCAGTAGTAACAAAAACGTGCCACACTTAGCAGACAGTTCAAGAATGAAAGGGCTTATGTGGATTTGTTTGTGAATTGTTAAACTTACAGTTTGATTTTATGTTTCATTTCCTGTTATAACTGCATCAAATAGCTGTGCATTTTTACATCTCCATTCTTTATGCATGCAGTATAACCTACAGACCTGTCCTGATTATCAAAGATTCTCTCTGTCAGTCTTACTAGTTTTGAAGTGTGATTCAAACTATATTTCAAAGTACTGTCATTTCCTCCTCTTTGCTTAACTTATTATGAGAGTAAATGCAAGCACTTTTGATAGCCGAAGACACAGTGTAGATCCGCAGTCCCACAAAGGAAATGCTGCAGAATGCAGGCACTGAGCTTCTTGTGTTAACGGTGGTCACAAGTTCATGAATAACCAACAGCAAAAATCCAAGTTTCTGCAGTGACAAGAAAATAATAGGGTCTTGCTGTTTTTAACTGCATCTGACAGCATGTGGCAACAAAAAAAGTACTCTCTAATTTCTTTTCAATGATGTTGGCAAAGTTTCAGTGCCAGGCCATTGTAAATGTTTTTCAAGTTAACGCTGTAAGTGCACTTGAGAGAGACTTATCGTGGCAGGATGGGAGCATGCTGAACAATGTCTCTTTATCTTCACCTCTTTCTGCAGTGGTGTTCCTCTACTTATCGAACTTCGGTTCTGTTAGGAGCTGTCTGACAGTGCAAATTCTGTTGCTTGTCTTGTCTGTCTTAGCTTGCCAATAACAAAGATAAGCTGCTTCATTTTTCTGCTGCCACTCATAGGTTTCCAGTAGCAGTGGTTAAACTGATTGTATGAGAAGGTTTTGAGGATCATGGTATGCAGAAGGCATAGACACTGGGATCGGGAAAGCTGTTCTAAGGTTTGGTTTGTATAGTAAAGTTAGAACTTTGTAAAATGCAAAAGTGGATTCTGCTGAAGCTGATGGCTGTTGACAAAATATTCCAATTTCCTTTGGGGATATGGGTTAATGCGCATTTTCTCAATATTTCTCTCCCTTGGTGGTATTTTGAGGAAGGTTCCATTCAGTACTTGTGAGATGACAGGTACAGTGGTAACGGACTAAAAAATCCTGTTGAATATAGGCAAGCTGTGCAGGAGCACATGCAGGGTTTGGCTGATAGTCTTTGACTAAATTTGTGGGAGGGGAGTATGTATTTGGTTCTGACTGCTTTTTTTTTTGCTTTTTTTTTTTGTCAGATTTTCTGAATGTATCAGTGAAGCTACCAAACCAGATTCACTTTGAAGATGGTAGTTATTTAGAATCTTGTTGGCTTACTACAAAGTGCCGACACTTTAACTCCTCTTTTTTTGCTTCCTTAAACCAGTTGTCAGGTAGAGGGTGTTTTGGGGTAAATTGAGCTCGGCAACAGCAAAATGATTAATACCATATTGGAGGTGGGGGGCTGTGAGCAAACGTGTAGGCATAGTGGGGTCTTCGGCTTTAAATAAGGCTTGCATTTGCATTAAATTAAACTTAAAATTTTGGCTTATGGATGGATGTGTTTTAAACATTTACTTGATAGTTTTAGGAGTAGGTAGAAAATGGAATACGGTGTGGTGTATCTCAGTTGACCAGTTCCTATTAAAGCTGCAACTTTGTAAATTTCTCATTGTTTTGTTTGTTTGTTTTTTCTTTTCCTCTCCCCAGTCTCCGGCGTCAGTATCAACCGCTCAGTCTTCAGAGGCTGCAGTACCTGATTGATTTGGGTAGAGTTGACCCCACGCAACCAATTGACTTAACACAGCTCACTAATGCCAGAGGTGTAACAGTGCAACCTCTCAAAAGGGATTATGGTGTCCAGCTGGTGGAGCAGGTATGCGTACAAGGCTCTTATTACTGCAGGCAGTATAAAGCCTTGGGTTTTCAGTTTTTCCATACCAGGCTGTCAGATTGTCTTCTTCCCATGTTTTTGGAAGCATCTTTGCTTTTCTAGATTAGTTTGCTGTGGAATTATCAGGATGATAAATCCACCAGAGGGCACTGTGTGTTAGCAAAAAAAAAAAAGAAACCAGGATGATGTTTTAAGACCTGAGAGACTACAGAAATAATGGTTAAGGATCACATAACAAGAGGTTCAACTGTCATTTTGGAACAGAAGACTAGAATGTACTGAAAGAAGTGTATCAATATTTTGGACAGGCAAACCTTTTTCATTCAATCCAGGGTGACTTGGGTGAGAGCAATTTGGTTACCTATCTTGGTGCAGGGAACAGACAAATCATAATATTTCGCAGGATTTAATGTTTCTTACAACTTTACAGAGAAGAATAAATGGATGACTTAAAATACTCATTTTAATGTAACTCTAATACTTGTTGAAATTTACAGGGTGCTGATATCTTTTCAGCAAAAGTAAATATTGAAGTTCAGAGGGCATCGGAATTAGCAATTGCAACCATAGAAAAAAATGGAGGTGTTGTAACAACATCGTACTACGATCCAAGGAGTTTGGGTAAGAATTTATTTTCATTTCCGACTTCCCCCCCCCGAATATGTGAAGATTGAATGATCCAAATCAAAGTTTCAAACATAGTTCTTTCTGGAAAATCATCAACTTCTATTCTGAAAGCTTCAACACCACATTGTGATACAAATATTGAACTGTAATGCAGCCTCAGTTTTGCTTTTTTTTAACTGTTCACCTGTTGGCCCTACCAGTACTAGTAGTCACTTAGCAATCAGCCAGTTAAAGAAATCCAAGTGGCTTTGTAAATAGATGAACTAATAAAAGATTGTTTCTTTGAATTTTTGTCTTCTAACTCTCATGTATTTAATAACCCCAAGAAAATTCATGAAAAAATTCAGATTTTAAAAGCACCATGGGTGTTTATATTTTTAATTTAAAGTACTTTTCCAGTAAAATAAGGAAATAACTAAGTTACAGAAGCTCAGAATCGTTCTAGTCAAAATGGCTATTGTTTTCAGAACACTTTCACTGAAGAACGAGGCTTTGCTTTGCATGAGGCTGCATCCTGCCTAATATTCATTCATGCAGTTTTTATTGACAATAAGGGAGCTTTCATGTGTGAATGAGGCTGAGAACAAGAGGAATAGACATTTTTAGTGTGCAAAATATGTTACCCTGGAGTGATAAAAGTTCTTTTTTTCCAATCCAGAAAATAATCAAAATATTGAGGTTAAAAGGATCTGGAATGTAATTTGCCAAATTCAGTAAAACTTGAGGAGAAGTACTCTTACAAATGACTAAATAGGTGCACGTGCCACTCATTCTTCATTTAAAATACTTACAGGAACACTAATTTTGACATTTGTTGGTACACTGTGTAAACAGGCATGCAAATGCATTGCTTCTAACCTGGAAGTCAATCCTGTAAATAAATGGCATCTTCCAGCTTAGTTATTGTGTCTTTCCAAAGTAGGCACCCTAAATATATTAGAAATATTCATCCAGACTGTCACTATCAACATCAGTTAAAACAGGTGTTTATTTGGTTAAGTGAAACTTGTTGAACACTATCTTACTCTGAACAAGAATATTCTTAAGATTTGATTTTTTGCTTGATACTTTTAAATAAGAAGTTAATAATTTATTTAGCCCAAAATACTAAATAAGAAGGTGTCATTTGATGTCTTTAAATATGTATTATAAAGCATAGTGCTAATTTTCTCTCCTGTTTGCCCACAGAAATTTTATGTAAGCCAGTAGTATTTTTTCTGCGTGGCCAGCCTATTCCAAAGCGAATGCTTCCACCTGAAGATCTGGTCCGTTACTACACAGATGCCAGGAATCGTGGGTACCTGGCAGATCCATCTAAGGTTGCAGAAGCCAGGCTTGAACTTGCCAAGAAATATGGTTATGTCTTACCAGACATAACTAAGGATGAACTCTTCAAAATGTTAAGCGCACGCAAGGATCCTAGGCAGATATTTTTTGGTCTTGCTCCAGGATGGATCGTAAACATGGCAGACAAGAAAATTCTAAAACCAACTGATGAGAGGCTGTTAAAATACTACAGCTCATGAATTCAGAACTGGAGACAACTGCAGGTGTACAGGAAACATCTGGGTATGAAATAATGGATACGAAGTGGTGTTTGTTTTTTTTAAGACTCCTGTTATACTAGACAAAACATAAATTTTTGTTTATGTAATCTTCTGGTGTAGCTCTCGCCTTTTTTTTTTTTTGTGGTAATAAAAGTCTTAACATTTGGAAACAGTAGAGAGTCTGAAATAAAGTGTGTGCTCGGACACTTTTTTTTGCAATGATTTGCCAGTTATTTTTGTCAGACAAAATGTTTTGATGTTGCATTTATTTCAGAGGATGATTCTGAAGAGTAACTTGACCTAATAGTTAGTTTATATTTCCCCCCCATCAATTTAATATCAGAAACATGGCTGTACAAAACCAATACTAGTTTTACAATTGTATTACATAGCATTTTATGTTTTAGAAAATGGTATCTTGAACACCTCTAAGAGGTAGGCCGTCTATTTTTGGATGGGGAAAATTAAAACCAACCAGAAATAACAAAGTACAGAAGAATTCATTAACCTTTTCAGTTCCATGGCAGTGTTTTGGATTTTGCCGCTGCCATCAGTACTGGAGCCTGAGAGATCTTGATTTTTATCTTATTCCTTCAGATGGAATTGAGAAAGACAGGCTGTGCAGTTTGAAAGAATTTTTTATCTAAATTTAAAAAAAAAGAAATAGCTATCTTAATTCAATGGCTTTTATTACTCAAACAGAATTTGAAACTTGTCCAGACACAAATGTAATGTCATTAATAAAAATGCGTAGCAGAATCCAGAGCCAATGAACAGTAGACAGTGACAGTAGATCATGAAGGATGGGGATGTGGTGGACAAAGTACGCCAGTAGGATTCAGTTTTCAGCTTGATCACAGGTTGCATATGTGACAGTGGACAAATGAATTTAGATGCTGTGAAAAGTTATGAACAAATTATTTTTATGGGAAACAGTATTTTAATCACACCAACTTGATACAATCTTGAAAAATATTTTCCAGCAAATGTTTGTTTCACCAGGCTGTCCAGAACACTGTGCTGTTGCTATGCAGGAGTATTCCAGGTTTCGTATGGAAGTTTAGGATTGGGCATTTGGGATGATGAACAGAGCAGTAAATGGAAAGATCAGACAGGAGACTAAGTTAGTCTGTCAGAACTTGATCTGGCTCCTCAGAAGTTAATGAGATGCTTCATAATTACATGAACTTTAATGGAAGCTGAATTTGGCTTTAAAATAGGGATAATTTGGTTATTAGGAAACAGTCCGGAAGACCAGAACACAAGAATGAGTCTTGCTTTCCAATGGTCATGTGCCTTTGGAAATGCTACTTAGTTTCCTGTAGCTGCTAAACCATCCCATCTCCTAGGGAAAGCCCTCCGAGTGCCAAAATCTCCTGTTTCTCCTGTGTAACACCTGTCTTTCATTTGTGTGCCTCAAGGCGGGGGGGAGGAAAAAAAATCTTAAAATCTCTTCTTTTTCTTTCAGAGCATAACAAGTGAATGAATTTTTTTATTGGTGTTTGTCCACCAGCCCGGATTTTTGCTTCACTCAACAAACTGCCTTGTCAATGAACATGAGCACCTGTAATCACAAAACAAAATAAAGCAAGTCTTCTATTCTCATGCTGATTAAATAGCCTGAAATCCAGAGATTAACAATAGAAAGCCACTGATTTTTGACAGCTTACTCTTCAGCTTCTATTGTCTGTTGTTAGTGTGTGTTAATGATATCAGTAATGGTTGTTCTGATTTGTGGTTTAAGTATAGGTGAAACATAGCAAAACAACACCAATATAAAATTGGATTGTGAATAGCAGGAATTTGTTCTTAATGGCATTAACATTCATATTTTATAAGGCGCACAACACTTTTTTGGCACATTAAGAATAATACCATGTGCCAAAAAAAGTATAGCTAGTGTTAACTTGAATGTGAAGTAAATAACTTTCTCACTTTAGATGTATCCTGTTCTGCATCCTGATGATTGTTGGTTTGGAAACTTAAAATGACAAGCAATACTTTTTTTTTTTTTTTTACTTTTTTTTTGAGTTTTTGTTATTACAATACTACTGCCTCCATTTGGGAAGGAGTTGGAGGTGGGGGAAGAGTATTTATTGCCTTCCCTTATTTGTGCCATAATGTTTCTGTTTTTATGAATCAATTCACAATTGTATTTTGTGGAGGTGGTGGTACTCAACAGGAAAGCTACTTAACTGGAAGCGAAGAAGGAAGTTAGTCATATTAGTGAAGACCAGAAGACAAAAGTGTTTATGTATCATTGTGTATTTTTGGGAGGAGAAGAGGGGGGAAGGTAACTTTGTTTCCACTCCTGCTCTTTGTATTAAAAAGAACAAATTGCTCTCAGCAAAGTTTGGTTGTTTTTTGTTTTTTTTTTTCTAAATCAATTTCTTTGATATACACACGCGTGCGCGCGTTGGTTTCTGTAGGCTTCTAAATGGTTTTCAGGTGAAAGGGTGGCTTGGATAAAATGATAACAGTGAAAGAAAGAATGAAAACAGGAAACAGATGTCTGGTGACGTCGAGGGATTGGATAGCACTTATTCAGTGAACGACGTCTTAGTCACAAGGCAGCTGTATCCTGGCTCTGATACTATAACGCTACAAATACCTTGGAGCCAAAACAGCCACGTTCCACAAAATCCGGTCATTCTACTTTATAAAGGTGATCTTTTATCATCTTATAATTGGAGAGGGTGAAAGGGGCTGTATGTTGCTTTATTTAAAATATGCAATGCTTGTCTTTTTTTTTTTTCCTCTCTCTTCTGTTTACAGTAGCTAGTATTTTATAATGGTGGTTCTGATTTTTATTTACTAGTGAAAAAAGTGACAAGGCCATAGAGGATTTCCTGTTCATTTTATCTCGTCAGGAACACAAGTCTCCTGGCAACCAAATACAGAATTATCAAAAGCGCAAGTAAGTTATTGACAAGGTTTCTAATAAATCTGTAATAAACAGCCTCCCAATGGACTGGTGTTTATATGAGGGTCCGGCTCTCTGATGCAAGACTCGAAGCCAGCCCTGGCATCTAAGGCCATGCTCTTTACTTAGGAACATGTACCATGTTTTCATGTTCATAAGATAAATGATTGCCTTGGATATCCTGTTTTGATAGGGGTTTCTCATATGCAACAATGTGTTACTCAGCAAGAGGCACCCAACCTGCTGTAACCGGAAAAGCACTATCAAGTGGCTGAGGAAAAGAAATGTTATTTGTGCCATAAAATACCGAAAGCCATGTCGATTTTTATCAACAACATCATGCTTTTGAGTGGTTCCTTGATAAAACTGATTATATGTATGAATGAGACTGAAGTCAGAATAAGGGCCTCTGAATGAGTACGTGCTTTGTTATATCATACCTTGATAGTTAGAAATACCCTATTTCTTGTGAGATAGACTTTACTAACAGCAGCCAGTCAATACTATGCTTACAGGTGGCTGACTGCAGGCTCAAAATGGAGCAAGTTAATACAAATGCATTTTGCCTTTCGCTTATACGTACGGCAAAGACACGCTGGCTTTTCATTCGTTATGCCTCTCAGTACAGTATACGTGTTTAACAGCCAAAAGTTGACTGTACCATTCGCTGCTTTTCCAAAAAGGAATAAATGAATAAATCAGTGGCCCCGATCTGAATCTTCGCTGGCAGTGTGCCGACATTGTTTTGACATACGAGCATAATTGATGTTGGTGCTCCAGGAAGTCATATGAAAGTGATCAATTATGAAGATAGCTTCCCATTGCTATTTTATTATTTTCTCTTTTATTGTTAAAATCTAAAATGCTAATGCAAAGCTAATTTTGCACTTTTGAACGCTCACAAGTTCTGTAAAAATCTGTCTCTGATTTGAAATCATTGCATGAGTTTTGTATTTTAAACGTTTAAGTGTTATACTTACATATATATAAAATAAGAAAGATGCTGTGTCTGTCCAAAACGGCCAGTTTAATATTCCGTATGCAGATTTATGCATTAAAATTTCTTGTTTAGCGATCAGACGGGAATAGTTTTACATAACTCGCTGTCTGTACTGCAGTTTGTTGTGTAATGTTTTAGTCTATGAAAAGATGTAGTTAGAAGCCCTGGTGTGACAGAATTCTTACCCATTAGAGGAAAATGATGAACTTTTAAAGCTCCTTCTTCTCCTAGCCCAGGTGGCCCATCTTGGTCTTTTGTAGCAGAAATACATGGCATTGTCTAAAGAATTACTGGTTTCTCAGTGGAAGCAAACTGTCCTCAGATCTATTCTGTCTCCTTTGGTTAATATTCCCTCTGTTGCATCTGCATCTTCCCGAGGTCTCTTCTCACTTCTCCCGTTGTAGCGGTGGGAACTACGGGGCTCAATCATTCTCACAGTGTCATCCTGTCTGGCCCACTCTGGGTTTGAAAATCTGGTTGTTTTATGTGCCTCTGGAGCAGGAAAAGTGTTGATCATTCCTGCATCTGTTTATATGAGGGGGCTTTTCATGGCTTGAGTTTCCTGGACTGGTGTTGCTTTTGTTGTTAAAAATGTCAACAGCAATGTTGTTTACTTGTTAACCTTGTAGATTCCAAGACACACGCCAACGGAGTTGGAGGAGCCTTCGAGCAATGGATTGGGAGTTTATTCAGAGTCAAGGAGCACTCCCAGAAGGGTGTCTGTGCACTTAACTTGGGACTACACACGCCAGATACAGGTTTTAATAGATAGGCAATTTTGCGTTCAGTGCATCAGTGCCCAAATCAGTCTCTCCTTGCAATTTCGGAAACCCAGCCTCACAGGTTCGTTCTGGTCTCATGATAGCATTGTCCTGTCTGCTCCCTAATCTATAAATAAGGGCAAGTTAGCCTGAAAGTCTTCTGTTTCTTGATGTTTATGTTTTTATTTTTATTCCTGGGGGAGGTCGTGACAACTAGAGGTTTGTGTATGTAGAGCAGTCTATGAAAAATAAGTTGATATGTAAATTTACAATAAGCTAGTTCTCTATGGATTTTTTTGTGACGCTAGTGTAGTTTGCCTTGCTCCCAGTGTGGAGTACCTTAAATTAAGAAAATAAATTCACTCTTAATATCTGATGAGGGAGATGCTTTCTTTACTTTGTTGAATGCAGCTGTGGTTCAGAGCTTCAAAAGTTGGAATCCAAGTTCCCTCTGAATTTAGTGTAGTGAGATGTTGTCTGAATCTCAAAATTAAAGCAAGTCTAAATATATATTGCTCACATGTAGACGATTGTTTAAGCTCATTTCATAGTCAGTAGAAATCCGATTGATACAATCAGCAGAGCACGGAGAATCGCTGTGTTCTACCTGAAGCAGACATCTGAGCAACTAAATTGTGCTCTAGGATTCACTGACTGTGACAGTAGTTTTAATGTATAGTGCACCTGTATCTGCCTAAAACATAAGTATCTGGAACTGAATCCCACTCTGTGTTTTCAGTGACCCAAGATGCTTGAAGTTAATGGTGGGAAGATCTCCTTGTGGATCACAAGCCACCAGTGTGGATTGTGTAGCTCAGCACTGGGAACTCCTGAAGTTTTGTGTGCTAGGTTGTGTTTGTCTTGGAAAATTTAAGTGTACTAATTTTACAAAAAAACAAGTCAGAGGACATCTTGGTGCCAAAAGAGGTGAAATGCTGGCAATTAGATGATCTGTGCTATTTTACAACTATTGGAAAGCAAAGCTTTTCCAGGATAGAGAAATTGGTGGCATCCTCACGTAGGAGCTCCTGTCTCTTTCAAGGTGGATGACTCCCAGTTCACGGCTCTGCACTGGTACTGCTATTCAAAATTTATCTGCCTTCTTTGGCCCTCTTGTGATACATTGCTGATGTTTGTGCTAACTCTAATGTATGCGTTTCCTCTGTAAGCAAATTAAAGTCACCTGAACTTGCAAATGAGAAAAAACGTGAGAGGCGGATGGTGTCCCTCTGAGGTGTCTCCTTCAGCAAGTGGTGCTTGTCATGGTCAGAGAAGGTGACCGAGGCACTTAAATGCAGATGTTGTCTGACTGCTCTCTGAGAACATGTGGTCCAGTGTGTCTCTTAGGGTCCCCCATACAACTGCTGTGATGAATTGTGGTGTGTGTTTAAAAGACAGATTTGGGACTGATCCTTCTACAGATTTTGACTTGCCATTTCTCCTGTTTTCAGTGATTTCTGGGAGCCTGAAACCTCATAGATGCATTTGTGGGGGGGGGGTGTTGGCAAGGCAACCACACAAATCGCCACAGCAGGCAGTCTGGGTATGGGCCATGTACTAGGCTTGAGACTGTTCCATTCAAAATATTGTTCTGCTGGTTTTATGTTGGGTTTGGCTGGCTTGACATTGCTGCTGCCCTGACTTCTAGGACTTGTGAAATGTCTGGGCTAATTGTGACTTTGTTGTTGGCTTTTGTTGTTACTGGAAGGCTCCAGCCCTTCCAGGTTCATCATTAAAGACAGATGTTTACA